CTGCCAAACTTGTTGATGCTCTTTTTAACTGAGGGCTTCTATCGGGTGAGGTGTTTCATCTGTGAAGCAAAAAGTGAGAGAGTGAAACTGCTGTTTATATAAATGAACAAGTAAAGAAAAGTACAAATAAACGAATAAATTAAGTAGGTAAATAAGTATGTATATGCTTATGTACTTTATATACTTATACTGTTAGTATATGCTAATCTATATACACTAATGCATGCATGAATTTGCGTAGTTATCACGTTTCATTACGTATTTCTGTGTACTTATTGCTTTAAGTTCAAGAATTTTCTCCACTGTTTAGCAAACTAAAACATCTCGTACATTCAAAATCACAGGTTATCGACTTGTGTGCGTATTTGTTTTTGTTAAGGTTGGGAGGACAAAAAAACTCGGAAGGAACAACGACAAAAAAAGGAATTTAGGGAAAAGCTCTAAAATATTGAAGTGAGGTGGAAAATTAGCGTTGATGTGAACGTTTCATGGAGAATGGCGTGAAAAGTCAACCAGTTGTGTGTTTTGTTACACGCAATAATTTTAGAGGTTAATAAACCTGTTTGACAACTACTTTAACTACAGTACTCTCACCATATTTCTTTTCTTCTTCGTTTTACCACTTTATTGTACTGATTCATGCAAGATGCCAGTAGCTGCTGGTGCAGCAGCGGAATCAGCGACAAGAGTATTAACTGCATTGCTGTAGTCGCCAATATAAACCATTCTTTTGGGACAAAAATAGTTGATATTTGTGTCTATTTTATGTACAGTATCCATTAACCTCCTGATCGTCCCACTGTATTATGCATATGAGTTAATTGTTATACAAGTTTTGACGAAGATTACTTCGGAAAAGTGGTAATAATACATTCAAAATAAATTTGATACGTAGAACTTACAACAGTGGATCCCTTCTATCTATTATTGCACCTTTTCATGACCAACTGTGTAATCAAAAAATTGGATGAAGAAGTAAATCGGCTAGACATGTACATGAAGATGATTGGGAGTAATACACAGTTCACATTTTATATGATACCAACGGATAAGAGGATAACTTTGATCACCGGGTTTACAAAGGGGCAGTTAATCTTGATTTTATTGAAATGAAGACAGTTGAAGAAGAAAAAGAGTTAATTTTATGAGTGTCAAGAATGTGTGTTTACTGTAACAGGTCGCTACATGAACTGGTTGCTGTCGAAAGTTCAAATGCACATTTACAAAGAATCCATCAGTAATCTAGTAGGACAAGTGTAGTTGGTAGCATTTTTAGAATAGTGTTGATGGAAAAGAATTCGTTATTGTTTTTTTTTTCGTTTTGTGTTTTTTTCTGTTGTATCGTTGCTGATTGGCTTAACCGGAACAGTACAC